GACTTTGTTTAAGGTAGTAAATTAATGTTATGACTCTGGTAACACAATTAGGATCAAAAACATTTTTATGCTGCCATTTATCATGTCATAGATGTCATTTGCGCTTCATTACTCAAACCCTAATGTTTATTGCGTCCGTAGTGCCTTTGTTCGGTTATTGGGTGTTGTTAAAATTTTTGTTTATTGGTAATGTTTTGTACTAGATAATTAAAATTCAGTAAAGATAGTTTCAGTTTATCACACCTGCATTCTTCACCCTTTGACATTGATTGACTTACTTATTTCTTTTAGCAGCATTACTGCTTTCTGGTTTAGAAGGGTAAGGGTGCTGGTGAATTTACAGGCACATGGAACTTGTCAACTTATGTCTCTGGATGACGGGCGCAGTGTGTTCGTCCCGTCACTTGATATTATAAAAAAACTGACATTTCTTTGTTTACATTTTAGATATCTAATTATGATTCATATTATAGTTACTACATAGGCTACCTATATCTTACTGAACTTGTCTGCACAGTTGCCCAGCGCAATAACTATAGTTATTCATTTCAGGTGAAAAGAAATACCAATGCAAAATATGTGACCGCAAATTTACTTAAACAAGTCATCTTAGCTGGCACTTCAAGCGAGACCACACGAAGCCAAACGCCCCTGTCCCTTCATCTGAACACTACAAACTAGTCTTGCACAACAACAGTAGTGATAGCATTTTTATTGACATCAACAAAGTTGATAATATAAATCATGCTGTTAAATGTGAACAATCGTAATGTATATTAGATATAGTAAGTGCATCAAAACGTGATCGGAAGAGATTATCATATGGGTGTTAAGCTTTGTCCCAGAGTTATTATGTTACTCTACTCTGGTACACACAATAGAGAAATGCAATTGTCTGGTACATTATTTTTACCATACATTAACGTATTTACCAGTATTGCTAGGTCTACTGTTATTGGCCGACGTCTACAGTTCTACTGATATTTAACGTAAATATATTGTTTCTAGAAATTTGTTTCCCATTCACACAGATTTGTTTTTTTTGTGTATTTAACTTCTGTCCCACTGAGGACAATTCTGCCAGTGTCCGGGTTGAAAGATACAGGGTATATTTATCAAGATTCACTCAGACGACAATGATTGGTTGCACCATCCTATGGACAAAGACAAAACACGAGATTATTTGACTAACTGCTATGGATGAAAAGCGTAATCACATGCTGTGCACATAGTAAACGTTATAACCGTGTGTTATTTTGTTCAATATATTTAAATAGAATAAATAGTAGAGGAGGTTTCAGGGGAGAAAGGATACTGTAAAAATTTGTGGGACGAGGGATACAATCTGGAAGATCGTATAAAAAGACGGGATATAATGCACAGTTAAAAAATATATGCTCAAGAGTTCCTTCTTCAAGACCGCACTCACAAAGGGAGTTATCCCTTATCCTGAGCTTAGCAAGAAAAGTGGGTCTGCAGTTATGCCCTAGGCGCAATCGGATGATAGTTGCAGTTGTTCTTTTACTGGCCTCGCGGAACTCGAAAAACCAAGGTTTCTTGGGTATTACTGGTTGAAGACCAGCATAATATTTGCCGTTTTGACTGCTAGAAAACGACTGAAGACAGTTATTGTGTAAATCAATCTTAGCCTTGGAGCGTAAGTATTGAAAAAAACATTTATCATATATAATAGTACCAGAATGAATCGCCCATTTAGCCCATCTATCCGCTTGTTCGTTCCCAAGAATGCCAGTGTCCGGGAACCCAAACAAGAACAATTTGAATGCCATGAATAGAGCAATTGTAAAAGAGCTCTTTTGTTTTAAGATTGATTGGATGAACATCTTTGCTACGAAAGGGAAACTTTAACAGATCGTCAAGGCAGCTTACGAGAGTCTGTAAAAATTACAGATTTATCTAATTTGTGGGATTCAACATATGAAACTGCCTCAAAAACAGCGATCACCTCACCCGAATATACGGACGCTTTAGATGGAGATTTAAAAGTTAAGGAGATATTAAATGTAGGGATCCAGGCGGCAGAGCCAACAAAATCATCTGTGGTGGATTTGGAAGCATCTGTAAAGATATTGAGCCAACCGTTCCATTACTCCTTAACGATTTTATTAAAAAGTATTCTAGCGTAACAATGTTGGAGTTATTATAATACAGAGTATTGCTTGATAGGGGGACCGATGAGAGATTTGTTGAAGCTTTTTAAAAGGCATGGAGGGTCCTTACGTTCCCAGTACTTAGAAGTTGTAACAAGGTTCGCTAGCTGAGTCAAGGGGACCAGTAAGGGGTGGACAGAATTTTGTAAGATTTTGAAAAAGAAACGGTCGCATAAGTACTGACGACGGAAACATAACGGGGATCTGAGCTCTCAACCTGCATGGCATTGATTGGAGATGATTTCATCGCTCCTAATATATCACGAAGACATCTAGCCTGTATATTATCCCAATAGTTAACAGCAGATTTGTTACAGGGTTCTAATAAAAATGAAGCGTAATCAAAATGACTCCTTATTACAGCATTGTACACATTGACTTACAAATGAATGGACGACGGGTCTAATACAAAAACCACGAAAAAATGTCCCAAGTCAACCTATTTAAACGTAGTGACATGTAAAGGAATATGAAAAAGTTAAAACGTTGAATTTAAATTGTAATGTCATCGCAGTACTGTCTAATTTTGCTTGCTTCGCTGTCAGTCGAACAAACGAAGACTAAAGCGTGAATGACGCTCTGTATACGATTTTAACGCCCTGTAAGTTCGGACACTTTTTAGCGCGGACCCGACGTCCATATAATTGTAAGTCAATGATTGTACATCAATTTTTGGGTATAAAGATGGGCTCCCCAACTTACTCCACAAAGAGCTCTAATAATATTTATATACCCTTTTCACATTTATTTTTAATATAATTTAGGTGAGGGATTCCAGTCATCTGGGAATCAAACAGATTTGTTTGTTGTTGTTTCTGATTTTTCTCCTTTTAAACTATTCTTGTCGGCAAGCGTTTTTTCAATTTAAAACGCCCTTGTAGCTTATGTTTTACGAATAAAAGTGTAGACCACGTTTAAACAGCGGCTCGACCCCGCAATCAGCCTGTATATCTTTCATCTTATTTCTGTGGCAGTTTTTTGTCGTTTTATGTATTGATTATCAAAGATTTTGCTTACTAGTTTTGTTAGAAAATTGCGTAGGCAATAGTTTTTGATCAATCCAACATTGTTTAAGTTTAGGGCAATACAGAAAATACGAGGTGGCTCGAATTATGTGTCTGGGAGTATTATATTGGTTGTTTTAAAAAATTCGCTCATCTACTGTGTATACTAGGCCTGACTGAGTAGATGCTATAATTTTACGAAATTGTGTGTTACAGCGCACGTTGAAAGTAACACCGTCTCGCGTCTCGAAAAAGTCAACTTTCGGAAAATTGCGTTTTGGATTTTATAAAAATAAGTTTAGAATCGACAAAATGAGATTTTCGTTTAATGACAGTATTGTTTTGAATGTGCGATATTATTAATAAATTTTAAAGCCACTTGTTTTCACAAATTAAAAGTGATTTTCATATTGAAAAGTTTTATTTTTACTATTCACTCAATTCAGATGGAGAGTTATTAAAATTTCCCGTTAATGAAATTTTATGGAGTTAATTGTTTACAGAGTTAGAGTTGCCCTCCTGTTTTTTTTCTAAATTAGTATTGTGTATGTGTGTAGCACGAGTTAAGAGTTTACATAAACTCAAATGAAAGTGCTGAATCCATTGACTTACAAATAAATGGACGACGGGTCTAATACAAAAACCACGAAAAAAATGTCCCAAGTCAACCTATTCGAAATTTAAATTGTAATGTCATCGCAGTATCGCGCTGTCAGTCGAACAAATGAAGACTATGTCATTAAAATATATATATAACCGTCATTGTGAATAAAAACCGCCGAAGTATTTTAATAACCGGCAATCTATCTCGCTAACGCTACACATGTCTCTCAACCCTGACATTGGCAAAATCGTCGCGCAAAACGACGGAGCCATAGACACAAAAGTTGAAGTTGAAAGCGGAGTTTGGCGCTCTGTATACGATTTTAGCGCCTTACAAGTGCGGACACTTTTTAGCGCGGACCCGACGTCCATATAATTGTAAGTCAATGGCTGAATCAAATACTTTGGGAAAAAATATGTAGTAAACACTTACTATAGGGTGCGAAAACAGGATTACTAAAAATTTTCACGCCTTCAACGCCCTGTGGGGTGGAGACTAGTTTGGGAAACCATGGTGTAGACATTTGAAGGGCATGAGAAAAACTTACTGGCATGACAATCGCCATCTCTGTACAGGAGCGGATTACTACAAAACTGATACTGGCCCCAAAAAAATTAATAACGAGAAAAAGAGTGAAAAATAATAATAATGCATTGACTTACAATTATATGGACGTCGGGTCCGCGTTAAAAAGTGTCCGAACTTATAGGGCGTTAAAATCGTATACAGAGCGTCATTCACGCTTTAGTCTTCGTTTGTTCGACTGACAGCGACGCAAGCAAAATTAGACAGTACTGCGATGACATTACAATTTAAATTCAACGTTTTAGCTTATTCATATTCCTTTATATGTCACTATGTTTAAATAGGTTGACTTGGGACATTTTTTTTCGTGGTTTTTGTATTAGACCCGTCATTTGTAAGTCAATGTAATAATGAGAAAAAGAGGGGCAGCGCCACAGTCGCTCTAGGGAAATAAATAATAAGTCGTTGCATGATTAATTGTACATATTAATTTTTATTAATTTGATATAAACAGATTTCATTGATAAGTTCTATGTTATGTCATACACTATATAAGTTCCGTCAATAAATAAGCGAGGGCTTGAACGACCAGTGCGGTCGCCCTGCTCTCACTGTAACCATAAATTTTCTTAAAGCTGCATTTTTAAAGGCACATACGTCTTTTTTTCGTGCCTCACACGTATCACTTACGAATTGACAATAATAAAGATTTTTTTGTAATGCAAACAGTAGAGCATCACTGCACGCATAACAAAATACACTTAAAGCTATTAATTTTTAACAATTTCGATTGAAATTATCTATAAACAGTTAAAAATAGTCACTACCTACGCACGTCTAGTTTAGACAGGTAGGTACTTCACAAAATATAGACTACGTTACTCTTATATAACTTATATTTTGAGATAAATTACATAATACGTCTATAAATTATAATTAACAGTAATTAAGTAATAATATCTATCAACAGGCAACAAACGTGCGTAAACGACGTCATACCAAAATACAGTCCTGCTCTGATAACACACGGCATATAATACCATTAAAATAACTATTTTTCTTAAAGTATACATTCATGAACAGTGGTGTATAAATTTTTTCTCAAAACATTTCGTCTTATATACCACACGTAGCACTTCTTTCGATTTCTTCAAGTTTGACAAGAGGGCCGTTTTTCCAACGTCTCTGGTCAACTGCATCAGGGTCCTCGGCACTTGGTCGCTGTGCATTGGGCGTGGACAATGTTATGTCTTGATAGATGAATCCTCCAGTATTTTCTCCAGTGTTCAAACTAGTGTGGGGGTCCGCGCGGGTTTCGGCGGGAGGGGGGGAGGAGTGCGCGGTGCGGGGCCCACGTCCCCCTTATGTAGACGTTGGCGCTGCGTTTCGCGGAGATTCTCAAGAAAATCTGCATCACAAAAATTTTATCAAATGACATCTTACTATCAACCTTTTATACGTGCCATTGCCGGGCAGGGGTCTCCTCACAAGAGAGGAATAAAGAGTGAAACGTTTATACACTTGGTTTTGGAAAATTTTTCGAAAAATTTCAGACTCGAAATTTCTCAGGAAAAATCGGAAGAATATAATTCGAAGACTGGTATCATGTTCTACGTTTAGATATATCTTTTCATGTTTTATTTAGCATAAATTATATAGTAAAATTGTATAAACATTATAAATATCGGTTTTATTAGACATATTATTATTTAATTGCTGTGACTAATTACTGTACTGGCATGTGAAAAATTACTAATTAAAACTGTATCTATCACACAGAAGTGCAATTGAATTGAAAAGATAGTAACGGATTATGCATTAATTGAATACCTTACCTGGTGGATGGTGGTGCAGTGGTGGCCCGGGACGTAGGGCGGCTCGAACTCTGCCCGAGCTGCTGGCTGCGGCGCTAGCGCGGCTTGCGTTGCTCTGTTGGTGATAACCAATAATAGCATAAGTAAAAAGGAGTTATCAAAACTTTCTATTTACTTTAGTTTCTTACCGAGGTTGTTCATTTACATGCATTACTTTAAGAATATGTAATATAAGAATGAAATCAGCCTGCATATAAATTATATTATACCTATATTATATATATAATTTATATATATATAACTTGTATATAAATTTGCATTTCAGTTACTGTGCATTATAGCATACATTTAATAATAATACACGTTTATTTTCTCCGCAAACAACTGTGTCCGTGCGTACGCGCACTGACTACCCTAGAAGGTGGTTCAACCATACTGCTGCTGGTGAGGTGTCGTGTACCTGCGTGTCGTCTTTCTGGTCGTCGGGTAGACCGAGGGCTAGGTCGCTCAGCGAGTCGGCGTCGTCATCGCGCCGCTCGCTGCGCGCAGTCTCGGCCTCCTCGTTCAGCTCGACGATCTGCAGTCGCGCGCCGTCCAGCTCCTGGTGTTCAAGTTCATACTCATACTCATTGCATCACATGGGTAATATAAAAGCTCTTAAGACTTGATACTACCTCAGCTCGAATTAAATTTTATCCCGTACCAATATGGTTCATTTTGCTTGGCTTTATTTCAGAATTTATTTTTTTTACAAACGAAACTAAAGCCCTTTGAAAAATGCATATCGCATACTATAACGTGTTCTGTGTTGTTCAGTTGATATTAAAAAAAAATCATTGGTATATGTAAAAAAAAAATTTATAAATTAAACTAAAATCTAAAAAATTAAATGCAATATCAAATTTATTGTTAAATTAAGTAAACATAATATGCATTCTTCTAACTACAAAATTGCAACTAACAAAAGTTTTTAAAATCTCATATCATCTTATTTATTAATATTTTTATAGTCTCGGCTCTCCAAAAATTCTTGAAACGTATAAAAACATTTTTGGCCAATTATTTTGTAAGTTTTTTATTAAAGGTTTAAATGTTAACGTTATTTTTAATGATTTTGGGAACATTGTTAGAAATATTTATGCACATAGCATAAGCTATGCATCAAAAACGATTCTGTCGTGGAAACGACAAGGTGGCTGCCGTGAACCGATAAATGTCGTCACGATCTAGTGGGAATATCTAGACACGACTGACCATCGAGTATATAATCAGAAATAGAGACGAAATGTCATTTAATTTGTGTGAAAACTATTCTGCCATATCATTACGGTGATAACTGCGCTCCGATTGGCCAGCCCGAATTGGAAACAATTGACGGGTGTCGTCAATTGCTTCGCTTCAAATCGACCAGTTTAACTTGAACTTTGCTATAATGGACGAAAATGGAAAAATTACATAAATGTAATAATTAATTATCGATGAAATGTGATACCGTTTGTTTTGTAATGAGATGTTTTGCTGTTTTTCTCGCACCACCGAAAGGAACAGCCCCCATTGTTGGAGATATTATCTTTATTACAATAAATACAAGATATTTTTGGAATATAGACGCACACACAGGTCAGTTGTTAGTGCTGTTCTATTTGAGCTTTCTAATTTGTGATTTCAGCGCATACGAGATTTGATATTTGAAAGTGATATCAGTACCATATGACTGATGAGTTGCCAGGGGTGGATAGTCTAGATGAGAGAAGAAGAGAAGATAGATAGATAGATAGTCTATTTCTGGTACTCCATGCGACAGATTGTCGTGATATGAGAACAGGCTAAAAGCGACAGCCGTCTAATGATAAATAAACCGTTACGACATAATTGGAACGCGCCCTAAGTCATCATAACATTTTATTTTCATTGGAAATACATGTGACAAATTTTATTAAAATCGGTGAGTCAATAAACCGGATCCATCCCCTCCCTCAGACAGGACCAGTACCGAGGTACTCCCTATTTGAGGTAACATACAAATACAAAAAAAAAATCAAATTGAGATCTCCTTTTTTAAAGTCGGTTAATAAATATAATAGTACCTGCATACTAGTGTCGGGATGGACGACGACGCCGTCCCGGAGCACCGTTTTCGGCTGCTGCATGGCCGTAGGGGAGGCGTACCGCGCGATTACGGGCCGCAGCACGTGCCGCAACCGCCGCGCCGGCCGACAACGCACCGCAACGCACCTCCCGCTCACCTCCATTCGTACAACGCATCGCCGTTCCACCACAACTTCGCGCCCGCCGATGCACGTCGACGGCGCATTCGGATCTAATACTGGAGATTCACCCTGGCGACAACATGAATAACGAATTTATATGACATATCGAAGTGTGCATATTACATATAGAATTAAAGTTTCACTGACGATGTAGAATAAATGTCAACAAACAAAAACATATGATTTTCAGGGT